GGCCAACTTCCGAGAGGTGCCATTCTGTCATTCGGTCCTGATCAAAGTCATTTAAAGCTCACACGTCAAATTCAAAGGGTACTATAAGTGTACCAAATTTCAAAAAGATCCAACGGTCGGATTAAAAATTAGACATGTTAAAGTTTGGTCATTTTTTCTATCATGACAGCACCTACAGACTAACTTCCGGAGTGCACCATTTCATCATTCGACCTCGATCGGAGAGATTCCAAAGCCTACATGTCATTTTAACTATTACTATTAGAATACTAAATTTTGGAAAGATCCAATGGATAGATTGAATTTCATGCAGTTGCAACATCATCATTGTTGATGTCATGACAGCACTTTTGCTATCATGACAGCTCCTTCGGAACAGATTTTGGAGTGCGCCATTTATCCATCTGATATCCAACGATGTGATTCCAAAGCCCAAATAAATATTATAAAAGATTTTACTTGTGACCAAAATTTTAGAGAAATCCAACGGTCGGATTAAGATTTGTACACTCGAATGTAAAAGTGCAGTTTTTTGGTAAAAACTATTTTCAAAATTATTCAAATTCATCCTAATGGTCACAAACCTGTGGGAATACTTTGGACACATCAAATATGATTAAAAACACCTGATAGACATTTAAATGATAGAAAAATCCTTTATACCAAAATTTGATCACCCGAGTGCCATTTCTCAAAATGGACCCTAAACCCTCAAAATGCAAAAATCACATAAGAGTGGCCAAAAAACTTCCAAATATCATATACACATATGAATACACACGCTAAAAATTTTCACTTGGGTCAGAGATCTCTGTCTGGGCCCCGCGCACCCACTCTCTCTATCGAAGGTGTATGTTTGCCCACAGCACACCATTTACAGTGCAACCACTTTGTATTTGCGTCTAAAATCACATATATATCAAAATAAATATTTACTTGTAGTGAAAACTTAGTCTACTAAATAAATCCATCAAAACCACACTATAACCAAGTTCCCAGCCACAAGTTTACAAGCAAACAAAAATTCATACACAAGCCATACAATCCACACATACTCGCATCATACATATAATCACATCCTACTGGCACCCTAATCCTAATTACATTACAATATACTTGCTCAAAAAAAAGGGGTTACAGTTCTTTACAAATCATAAGCCAACCCCTAGCTTAGCTCTTTTCCCTATCCACCAATGGATCCTTCACCTAGACCTGTAAATATTGTAAAGAAAGGGTTGAGACAACCACAGTCTTAGTAACAGAGAAATCGATATTCCTTATTACAAGGAAAGCCATGGTCAAGTAAATAAATAATAGATTCAAAAATAACATATAATTAATTAATTAAAATGCTTGAATACATAAGATAGGCTGATATAGCCTTCCTGACCAATAGAATGCCCCTTGGCACTCTTTAGCTTGTAGGTAAACCTTGTACCCATTATACTTCTACAGGCACAACATATAAACTAAGGCATGATCTGATCTACCGAACCGCCTGTGCCCCTTCGACGTGAATCCTGAGCAGTCAAAGCTAACTCCCTCCCAGAGCCAGCCCGACTTACTCTCCATGTGAGGGCTACCATGGCCTAGACACTCAACCTCATACTTCATATGCCAGATTCTCTCTCCCACTGAGAGGTGTCGAATACTCAATCCACTAACCACTTTAGTGTACTAGCCCACAATATGAAAGACACACTGAGTAGTACTGACAGTGAGCCATAGAATATCACAAGATCATATCTCCCCATTGGTGAACTCCCACTGAGATCATGCCTCCTACCCTTTTTCTATCTTTTCCGAGTATTGACCACTTCAACACTCAAGGTAGTATAACACTCATAATTCATCTCTTAATCAGTTCATTAGCCTATCTAAGGTACCAAACCTAGTTGTACTTCCCTACTGCAACTCCTCATTTTTTTTATCACAATGCATGTTAATAATCTTATTTTCCATAAGTAACATCATTATTAAATAGATAGTAAACATAAATGCATTATTAAATAAAGCAATACCTCATAAACCCTTCTAAAACACATTTTTTTTGCATTCAATTATTTAAACTATGTAATGCATGCTAGATAATATTATCTACTCAAAATAGCTAAACAAAGCAATAAGAAATATAAATTCCCTTGTTACCCTCAACCTTTTAGTACCAAAAGGGTTTCTCTTGACAAAATAGGATTTGGCTTGTTCCTTAACTTCCGAACAAATTCTACCAACAATCCTACAATATATAAGTGATCCACATCACTTATCATGACAAATAGCATTAATGAAGACTACAACTCATACTACACACTTGGGTCAATGAGTCATAATCCATTCCTAATGGTCCATATATTAAACCAACCATTCACATAGTATCACTTAACCACCAAAACTATTTATTAGCCATCACTAGGCTAATTTTCCAATTCATATAATTTTTAATCAATAAAAAACCTTCACTTAGTGTCACCAACTTTCACCATTAGCCCTTATAATGAAAACCAAACCTCAATTGAAATCTTATTGGGCTTAAATAGTAAAATTATAACTAAATCAATAAGTTTAAACTATTGAGGAGCAAAACCCAATCTCTCAGGGTTTAATTTGTGCCTAAA